AGATAAGGTACCAGGCTCAGGAGCACGAATGATCCGGAGCTGGTTAGTTCAGCCCTGTCTAACCCCGAAGGCTGTGTTGGTCTGCATCTCTTCTGTTATCTTGCTTTGGGTCCCAACTGAAGGGCTAGCCAAAGGCCCATAGACTGAGAGAGACATAGTCAAAGACGGCAGAAATAGTAGCTGGGTGGCTGTGCCCAGCAAATGCATGCGGTTCAAGGTGACCTGATAAATAGGCAGACATGTGGGGAGTACTGGGGAGAACCTCGAATGCAGGAGGATGCCAGAACTCCCCCAGATGGCCCGGGCGAGGCCTGCTTTTGTGTAGTGCCAGCTGCATGGTGGTGATGCCCGCTGAGCATTTGCAGGGGAGTTGCAGGATGGAGCACCTCCGTTGCCTCGGTATCTGTGCCACGGAATCGTGAATAAAACGTGTGTGTGGAATCTCACTCGGCCATGAACCTGTGCTTTCCTCGCCGCTCCTCCCCCCTTTTACCTTAATGACCCTCCTGCCACCCTGTTGTCGTCCTAGCGGCCCAGATGGATTCTCAGGGCCCCCTTGGGCAGCGCTCTGCCGCCTCAGCCCAGCCTGCCGAGCGCTTGTTGCGTTTGGCAGGTTTAATAGCTTAATTTCTATTTTTCCTCTTGGAAAGCTGTTTGTAGTATTGGAAGCAGCAGTGGGTGCTAAAATGGTCGCCGATGGCTATCTTGAACGTTAATATCCTCATCCGTCTTATCGCCCGTGGCTGGTGGCTGGTCCCCCTCTGCTCTCGCTCCCCTGCTCCAGACACAGGCTGCTTGCCGGCGGGGAGGCTCCGGGTCCTGCTCTGTGCTTTGCTGCCACCCGCCCTCCCTGCGTTTCCCAGATAGCATTGTCCTTCCCCAGCAAAGTCCCAGCGTGGGAAATCTTTGACTTGGAGGATATGAGAAAGTGTGGCCTTTTGCCGGCCAGTCTTCATAGGGATGATCTAATCTCAGGGAAAAAAAATACACTATTTAAATTCTATGCTTTGGCACAGGAGTGGGAGACAGGAGAGGTAGGGGGCAGATGTCCTGAGAGGGTGTTTTCTTTCTTTCTTTCCTTTCTCTTTCTTTCTTTCTTTCTTTCTTTCTTTCTTTCTTTTCTTTCTTCCTTTCCTTTCCCTTTCTTTCTTTCTTTCTTTCTTTCTTGAATCACTGTAAGATATACAGTTACAAATTTGTTCAAGATCAGGTTTCAGTCATATAATGTTCCAACACCCGTCCCTTCACTAATGTACATTTCCCAACACCAGTGTCCCCAAGTTTCCTCCCACCATCCTCCCTTCCCTCCCACCTCCCTCTCTCTCCCCTCTATGTCTATGGCAGGCACTTTTCTTCCCTCCCTCCCTCCCTCCCTCCTTCCGTCCCTCCCTCCCTCCCTCCCTCCCTCCCGCCTCCCTCATTTTGGGCCTTAGGGTTTATAATACAGGTACTGAAAGGTTATTACATCTATCTCTTTACCTCCTTTCAGCACTCAGTTCTTGTTCAGAGTGATGATTTCCAACTATTTTTTGTCATAGTGGTCCCTTCTACATCCTAGCTGACCCTCCTCCCAACACACACACACACACACACACACACACACACACACACACACACACTTGTTGTCCTGCAAGTTTGCAATGGAGGCAGGCAGGGACCTAGAGGCAGGGTCTGGTATGACCTGATGGGTCAGGTTGGTGGTTTTGCTATCTGGAGTTCAGGTGCCAGCTGGAACTCACGGTGAGGGCTTGTGAGGGCGGGGGGCGCGGGGTAGGTGATGAGGGTGCAGGAGAAGGGGCTGATGGGAAAAGCAGAGGGTTGGCTCTTACAGCAAAGACATCCTGGCAGGGTCTGCGCCATTTTCTTCACCCGGAAACCTAAGTCATGGCTCTTGGGGGTAGGTGGAACAGGGAAACTCCTCTCCTCCTCTCTTTGTTGAATCCTAGACTCAAGACCCCAAACTCAGGAGAGCAGCACCTGTGGGGTATCTGGAGGGTTCCCCTGTTAGGCGCTGATGCTCCCTGTTGGATGGAAGTGATTTTATGGGGGCCTTCCACGGAGGGGGAGGGAATGGCCTGGGTGCCGTGCCGTTCAGTGTTTGGGTTGGGGGGCGGATGTAGTGCTGGGGATTGAACTTGGAGCCTCACACAACCTAGGTGTGTGCTCTTGTGCTCCACCATTGAGCCTTCCTGGCCATCCTGGAACTGACATTTCACAGGGAATTCTGCAGCCTCTTTCGTCACTGAAGTCTGTGTGTGACATCGGGAGTCGGCAGTGACTGAGTGCAGTGAAATCTGGTGGGAGGGACTCAGAGAACTCAGGCCAAGGTGAGTTTGAGTTCTACCTTGTTTGGGTGGAGGGAGGGGTCGCTCAGGGTAGAATCCCCCTCTCTCCTGTCCACCGTGGGAATCAGCACAGATCTGCTTCCTCCCCAAGGGAGCGGGAATTTGGAGGGTGAATGATCCCAGAATAGGCTCAGGGATCTCCAAACTTAGTGTCTTTCCCACCTCCACCAATGTGGATGAGCGTCTCCCGCTGAGCAGACAGAGCTCTGCTTTAGGGATGCAAATACCATCATCCTCATACTCCATTTAGCAGAGGAGAGAGACATATGGGTGATATATTGCAACTTAATCGGACTCGGACGCGTGTCGGGATATGGATATGCATTGTGAGAGCCCAGGGGAAGGGGTTGTTCATCTCCCTGGGACTAGTTGGAGAGACTTAAAGACCTGAGAGCAGTTGACCTTGATCTTGGAGGAGGAGGAGTGGTTAAGCTGACATTGGTTGAAGAGTCCTCGCTGCGCGCGTGTGTGTGTGTGTGTGTGTGTGTGTGTGTGTGTGTGTGTGTGTGTACGCCCCCTCTTTGCTGGGGATAAAGAAAAAGAAAAGTGGGGAAGTGGTTCCTGCTCTCTGCAGAAATTCACAGCTTGTTGGGGAGCCGAGGCTGGCACGTATCAGCCAATTAAAGCATTGCTGAGACAGATGGGAGTGTGGAGGCCGGGATGCTGCCAGGGGTACTTGGTGATCCGGGCTTCGGGGAGTTACTTCTCGGAAAACAGAATCTCTGGGAGGAGCACGCAGGCCCTGCAAAGATGTCTTGACTGTAAGAGCCAACCCTCTGATTTCCCCGTCAGCCCACTTCACTGTGGTACAAGGGCCAGCTAGGTCTCAAGGAGGAGGTTAGGGGGCTAAAATTTTGGAGGTGAAGGAGAAGGTTGATGAGGATGGTAAAAATTTGATGGTACTGACTTGTTCTCTGCAGCTCTGGCGAAATGTCGGGTTTATAAAGCATAGATATAGCCAGCTCTGACCTGAGCAGGGCTGGGGGGCAGGTGGGGTGGGGCTTCAGTCTCCCAAAGCACCATGTGCACTCCTGGGCCTTTGCTTATGCTCTTTCTTCCCCAAGGAGCTCCTTCCCTTTGACACCTTCACAGAGTCCTACCTTTGTTGGCTTTTCTAACTGCCCTCAGGCCTGCCTTTTTCACTTCACCTCAGCCCTAAAGCAGAATCTGCTTTTTTTAAAAACTATTATAGCTCATTTTTCCATTTATTTATTTTTATTGAATCACTGTGAGATATAATTACAAGCTTTCATGTTTGAGGGTCAATCATACAATGATCAAACACCCATCCCTCCACCAGTGCATATTCTCCACCACCAGTGTCCCCAGTATACTCCCCCTTTCCAACACTCCTTCTGCCTCCATGGCAAAATATTTCCACCATTCTCTCTCTCTCTCTCTCTCTCTCTCTCTCTCTCTCTCTCTCTCTCTCTCTCTCTCTCTCTCTCTTTACTTTTGGGCATTGTGGTTTGCATTACAGATACTAAGAGGTTATCACGTTTGGTTCTTTATCTACTTTCAGCACACATCTCCCATCCTGAATGATTTCTCCAATCATCATTCTCTTAGTGATGCCTTCTCTATTCCAGCTGCCTTCTCCCCCAGCTCATGAGACATGCTTCCAGCTATGGGACAGTATTCCTCACCCTTGGTTCTACTCTCCTTGGGTGTCAATTTCATATTACGTTATTTTCTATTCCACAAATAAGTGCAGCCCTTCTATGTCCGTCCCTCTCTTTCTGACTCCTTTCACTTTTTAGCACGATACTCTCCATGACCATCCACTTATAAGCAAATTTGATGACATCATCTTTCCTAACAGCTGCATAGTATCCCATTGTGTTGATGTACCAAAGTTTCTTTAACCAGTCATCTCAGGTTGTTTCCAGATTCTGGCTATGGTGGACAGGGCTGCAGTGAACATACAGGTGCAGATGTCATTTCTACTGTGCTTTTTTGCATCCTTGGGGTATATTCCCTGGTATTGGGGGGTCATATGGAAGCTCATGGCAAAAATCTGCTTTGTAGCTGCACTGGGATTGGAAACACCTCAACTGCTAGAACACTGTCTCAGTCTGAGGTTTCTCTGAATCCCGGTGGGCAGCTGGGGTGTTGGGATAAAGAAACGCGGGTTTCTTTAAATGTGAAGTGCATCTCAGTGTTGTTGCTTCTCTTGAACTTGGAGCATACCTTCCCGACAGCCATGAGGTGGGGTCACGGCAAGCACAGGCTGCGTGATTCCTTGTGGAGGAGATGGCCCCAGACACTGTAAGAGGTTCACCTGCAGGAATGACCAGAAGCAGCACTTCTTGTCCACCTAGCGAGGGCTAGCAAAAGTGCCCCCAGATATTTTTGATGTGTCCCCAGATGTCCCCACGTGTCAAGTGTCCCCATGCCTAGTTCCCCTGGGGAAGCAAACCTGGGGTGACATTAAAAGCTCTCTGTGATGTGTGAGTGTCGTTAGTTGTGCCTGCAGGCCAGGGGTCTGCAGTCTGAAAATACCGATTCTCCTGCTTTCCTGACTTCCCTGGCATGGACCTGCCACAGGGCAAGGAACTGAAATGCAGTGTGACTCCAGGCCGTGGCTCCCACTGGGGTGGAAGGGTCCCCTGGAGTAGTACTCTGACGCCATCCCTGTTGCTTTCTTTATTGCAGATTGATCTAGAGCCAGAAGGAAAAGTGTATGTGATCATCGATCTCTCTGGGTCCTCGGGCGAAGGTAAGAGAGTGACTGCTCCTTTTTCTTCTCTTCAGTTCACCCCTTGGCTCCTGGTCTCATCGCCCCTCCTTGGCTGGGGACACATTGTTGTGGCATTTGATTAATTGGCACACTTTATGGGAAAAAGGTTATTTTGAAGATGCTCACTCCTTTGTGCCAAAAGAGACCAGCCATCTGTTAGCTGCAGAGGAACAGAGGAAAGCATTTTGGCTTATCCAGTGAGGCCAAAGAAGCAGGCATTGTGTGTGCTGGTGTGGAGGGTAGGCGCTCCCCAGAGACTGTGTGTGTGTGTGTGTGTCTGTGTGTCTGTGTGTCTGTGTGTCTGTCTGTGTGCGCGCACACGCCTGCATGCTGGGAAAGAGAACAGGCCACTTGGTATAACTTTCTTGGAAACAAACCTATGTGTCAGACAGTAGAATTGTACTACAAAGCATTCATAGAAGTGCTACTTTTTTCCCCCCCACCAGTTTGGTGTACAGGCTCTTTAAGAGAAATAATGGGGTGAGAAATGCTGACTTCCCCTCTGGCTGATTGGAAGTGTGTAGATGTTGTTGAGTCGATTCTCCTCCTCCTTCCTTCTATCCTGACTTTGCTTCCTAACACCTCTGAGGGCTCAGTGGGGTTGAGGCCTCTCCTTCCAGGGGCTCACTGGACAGTGGAACTTTGTCCGCAGAGAAGACGCTGGTTGGAGATTAGAGCTGAAAGTTGGTTATAAATAATATTTCCTCTCCCTCTCTTGCTGTGGGCAGGGGCACAGCTGCCCTGGATGTCAGGGCAAAATATGAGCAGACAATAGCTGGTTCCTCTTGGGTAAAAACAGGGTGTGGGGACTATACCCCAAAGGGAGTGAGACTCTCAGTTCCTTTGGCCCCTGGCTTGAAGATGAGGATTTTGACATCTCTCCTGAATACTGAGGACCACAGAGTTGTGACCCTAGAATGTCTCCTCTGTGTTAGCTTCAAAGCTCAAGTTTAAGGGTCAGGAGGGGAGATGGAATGGAGAGTTGCTGGTCAGAGGATGGCCTGGAAGTGTCTGTGTTTGATGATTGGCTAATCATAAATTGACCTAGGAGTGTCTGCCTGATGATTGGTTGATCATCTGCTGGCCTAGAAGTGTCTACCTGATGATTGGCTGATCTTCAGCTGGCCTAGAAGTGTCTGCCTGATGATTGGCTGATCTTCAGCTGGCCTAGAAGTGTCTGCCTGATGATTGGTTGAGCATCAGCGGACCTAGAAGTGTCTGCCTGATGATTGGCTGATCTTCAGCTGGCCCACTGTCAACAGGTGTTCAGAATAATTTGATAATTGTGTGTATATGGGGCTCATAAGAGTATTCCATTCTCTTTTAATAGATCTCAATTATTTGGCTTAGATTTCAAACTTTAAACATTTCTCACAAATTGCTCTACTACATTTTCTGCTCTTGATTGCAATTAGATTTTGGCATTTCCAACTTTCTTTCTCAGCTCTGAGCTCTGAACAGCCCAGAATAGAAACGGTTTTAGAACAGTGGAGGTTTTAAAAATATTTAGCATGAAATATTTAAATATTTAAGATGTACCGAAGGACCTACAGAATAATAAAAAGGGGTACTGCTGTCCCTATCCCTAGTAGGAAATAAGATGTCCCAGTAGGGTACAGGCTTCCATAGTGTTTACTAGCATATGAACCACATTCACCTGACTTCAGATAATACAGCCACCTCCTAATTATAGGCACGGGAACAGCATTTGCTGAGCAAGCACCATGACCTTTTTAATCTTACATAATTTATACCCAAGGGAATAATTAGTTAAATAGTTCCTGTTCCAAGAGGCTGGGCTTGGACTTTCTTTTCCTTTAAAAAATATTAATGGCTTGCAAATCATAGAAGTCAGCCTTCTTTCTTTCATTTCTTTTTATACATTTGAGGGAAAGGATATGGACAAATGAATAAATAAATCATATGCAATTGATTTTTTTTCTTTTCTTGCTTCCCCGTATTCTTACTGAATTTGAATGGCCAAAGCAATTTTCACTGGGCTGAATTCTTCATCTAATTTTTTTCATCTCTTTCCTCTAGAGAAAAGACGGTTTACTTCCGAAATGCTGACACATGCCAGAATGTAGACTCTGTAAGGTGTTAGCAAATGTTGCTCTGAGAAGAAGGAGAAATTTTTCAGGCTGAAGAGATAGTTCAGCAGGTGGGACACTAACATGGCAGACCCCGGTTCTATTCCCGGCACTGCATATGAACTCCACCAGTGCTGATCTCTAAGTACATAGAGTCAGGAGTCAGCACGGAGCACTGCCAGATATGCCCCCTCCCCCAGAAAAACAAAAACAAAAAAAGGTGTTTTCTTGCTCTTTGTACTTGCTCTTCCTGGATTTGGGATGCTTTCCCTGGGAGGGGAGGGACTCTAGAGATGGTTTCTAGAAATTTATCTTGTTTTCCTCTGGGTTCTATGCATCTGTTCTGGGGAACTTATGAAGTGGTTTTGTTTGGGGGAAGGGGCAGTGGTGAGGAGGCCACCACAGCGCTCACCCTTGGTGTAGAACACCATGCCACCACAAGCCCGCATGCACTCACAGATGCCTCATCCCACTCTTTAGTGAAAATATTAGCACTGTTCTCCTCAAAAGGGTGCAAAGAGAGTTGAAATGAGGCATAGCCAATGTTTTCACCACTCTATTATTCTGCCATCAAGAATCCCTCGAGGAGTTGGAGAGAAGAGTACAGCGGATAAAGCTTTTGCCTTGGACACAGCCAACTTGGGTTCGATTGCTGGCAACCTAGTTAGTCTCCTGAGCCCTGTCAGGAATGATCCCTGAACGCCGCTGGGTGTGGCCCCAAAAACAACAAAAGAAAAAAAGAATTCTTTCAGTTCTTCTATCTCTAGCACCCCACCAATGGGGGCAAAAAGGGTATTCATAGAAATGGCACAAACCTGTTCACACATTCATGAGAGCTCAGAAAAATACATGGGATCTGGGTGTACAAATGCACTCCTTTCTTCTCAGATGTGCCCGAGAAGTCTTTCTCTAGCTAACACACTGTCGAGAGTCTGGACATTTACATCTGCTGGAACTAATGTGATTTCTTACTGTCTAATAAAATTCCACTACTTGCATGTCCTGTGCAGTTCCCTGTAATGGGATTTGACTGGTGTGTACTTTAAGCTAAACCAGATACCCTAACCTCACATGTACAGGGTCAGGCTGGACGACAATTAAGGTCATTTCTGGTCATTCCATTTTGTTTTTTGGTATAACTTGAATAGACGAGTATCAGAGCTCAAGGCTGAGGGCTGCCTTATATCAGTAGCAGGCAGGAAGGGGTGAAAGAGAAGGACCTTTCTTTTCTTTTTGTTTTTCTTTTTGGGTCACACCCGGCGATACACAGGGGTTAATCCTGGCTCTGCACTCAGGAATTACACCTGGCGGTGCTCAGGGGACAATAAAAGATGCTGGGAATCGAACCCTTGTAGGCCGTGTACAAGGCAAATGCCCTACCTGCTGTACTGTCGCTCCAGCCCTGAGAAGAACCTTTCTGATGGTACTGAGCCGAACATTTTTTTAGATTCTCCCAAGAAGCAAATCCCCTGTGAATGCTCGTGTATGATCTTCCCATTTCAGGTGTCTCTTCAAGTCTGCTTTTATTCTAAGTTATACCTCCCCGTGTTCACTTTGAGTGAACAAAGTACTAAGGGTTCATCAGATCCTTCATTAATTTGCCTCGGTAACAGAAGCATGCATGAGTGGTGATGTCAGAGAGTCCAAGATGACCTTACTCCTCAGCATCCTCCCGTCCAGCGTCTCAGTGGGGTCCTAGGGTCCAGCCCGGTCATTCCCCTCTTTCCCTTTTCATATTCTGCTGGGTCTTTAAGGAGGAACAGTACCTGAGGGTGAAGGGGAGCACTCAGCTTCCCAAGTAGGGGCCTTCAGAGTCGGCTCCAGCAGCAAGGATTAAGAGCTGTCACTCCTGTGAAGTGCCCTGGACGGGGGTCCTGGCCCCGCTCATCCCACAGCTTCGGCCGGCAGGGGAGGACGGCCCGTGATCCAACAGCAAGTGGCACCCAGAAGCAGCTCAGTGCTTGTGAAGAGTGAAAGTAGATCCCAACCCCTCACATTGACCTTGGGACGCGCAGCACGGCTTTTGTTTCTCTTTCCCTATTTTACCTCCTTTTTCCCCTGCCCTCTTCTGCGTGCTGCTCTTCTGTTGGAACAGTAGGTGAGGAGGGCACATCTGTTGGTGGTGTGCAGACATTCAGCTGCAGGATTCACTTGGCACCCCCCACCTGACTCTATGCTGCTGGTACTCAGACTTGAGGAGCAGTTCCCTTAGCTTCTAGATTTTGGGATCCAATCTTTGTCCTGGAGGAATGGATTCCTCCCTAGACCTGATCATATGCAACAGATGAGACAAGTGGAGTCAGCTTGAGAGCAGTGAGCATCTTCCCCCCCCCCAAGTCCCTACCTAGCCCCCCCTCCCCCATGAGGGGTTTATAATGTCCCAGAGATAATGCTAAAGTGCTCAGTGAGAAACCAGCCAAGAAGGCCTGCTTCCTCCTGGAGAGACTCATATGCACCGAAGTTTCTCTGAAGTGAGTCATCTGGTTAACAACACCAAATACCAGCCATTAGCAGATGAAAAACAGAAGTGAATCCTGAGTGTCTGGAGAAGCAAAGCCCCTCAGGGTCACTCCTAACCGCATTTCTGGGGCCAGGGCTGGGCACTGTGGATTGACCGGTACCTCTTTCTGCTAATGAAGTAATTGGTGAGGAAGCAGCAGGTTGAAAAATCAAGTTACCGAGAGGGTAGGTTTCTAATCGAGCCTTAGTTAAGAAGTGAGCCCCCTGTTCCTGGCCTGGTCTCCAATTCCGACTCTGTTGTCTCACTCTATGTCATTTTCTGTGTCCTATAAAGAAGATAGTTTGGGGAAATTTGTGTTTACAGCTCAGCTCCTGGTGGGTCAGAGTAACCTATAATTTAATCATTTGCTCTTGTTGATGTCCTCAGGA